ATGAATGTGTGTGTAGTAGAGTGCTGTATGAATGTGTGTGTAGTAGAATGCTGTATGAATGTGTTTGTAGTAGGGATGGGGCCGATCCGATCCAGTATCGGTATCGGCCTCCGATACCAGCATAATTTATGTATGGGATTTTTCTGATCCACTTGCCGATATATCCGATCCATGATGCAGTTTGTCTTCAAACTATGGAATGGATTTCCTGAACGGCGGCGTGTCTCATGAACCCAGAGTAATAAGACCCGCCTCACCTTCAGGAAATCCAGTTCATAGTTTCCAGCCAGCCACAACTTGAGGGCTGAGTTAGCAGCACTGTGGCTAACAGCTAACCAACTTTTCATCTAAACATGTCAGCCGTGTGGAAGCATTTTACACTAAAAACGCCACAAAACAAGACAGCAGCATGCAATGTCTGCAGAGCCATAGTGCCACATTAAACCGCGGTAAAGTTAGTTTTACGTTGGACATTTGAGCTCCATGGCTTCAGCGGGGTGCTGTTCTTTGCTCAAATGGAAAGAGGCGACTCGACCCCGGCCAGCCGCGTCCAATCTGCCCCGCTCAGTCTGCTCGTCTCCGAGGAGGGACAGACTGAGCGCGGCTGCCCCAAATCAGGCTGCTTGCTTCGGATTGAACAAGAAGAAGACATCGCTGAAACCACGGAGCTCAAATGTTTACCGAGAAGTTGCTAAACTTTATCATGTTTAATGACCACTATCAGTTGTAGAAAACGAAGGATTTCACAGTTTGATACTTGCATCCAAGATATAGTTTATCCTCCAGGAGATATTTGTTAGTACAACAGTAAACAATCATAAAAAAAAACATGATTTGAAAAGTATATTAAAAACAAAAACAGCTACATTATATAGTGATGTAAAATACTAAAAACGGGAACATGTCTGTTGGTTTATGCCATGAACTTAGCAGGTGTTTGAATACATTTAATATTTTATTTATTAATTCATTCATGAAAAAGAAAACATTGAATGAAAAGAGTGTAGCAAGAAGAAAAAAAAGTCTTATATCTGCCCCTTATTTAAAAAAAATAAAAATAACTAAATAATCACTTAAAATTAATCACTTTAATATCCACTTTAAAGCTAGGAATAAAAAGAAACTTGTTTTGTGTTAGCAGAATTTAATTCTAACTTTAAAACGTATCCAACATTAATAAAACTTACCTCAAGTTGCCTTTTTGGACATTCATGCATATATTTGTACAAATTGTACTTGAGAGGAGATTATTACAGCCTCATATAAAATCAACGATGATGATGATATCGGAATTGGATCGGTATCGGCCGATATTCAGACTTAGGTTTCGGGATCGGATCGGATGTTTTAAAAAGTGGATCGGTGCATCCCTAGTTTGTAGTAGAGTGCTGTATGTATCTGTGTGTAGTTGGAGGCTGTATGAATGTTTGTTAAATGATGGCACAGATTGTGTTGTAAAGAGCTTTGAGTATCTTGACTACAGAGACTCTATAGAAGTGCAGTCCATTTACAAACTCATCCACTATGACAAGGTGGCAACTCATGAAAAAAAAAATTCATGTATTTTTGTTTTACAATTAATTCACATTTGGTGTTTCCAGAATACATCCATTGCTCACTGACCTTATAAAAACAAGCAAACAAACAAATAAAAAATAAGTCAATTCGTTCGGTTTGGCTGAAGAAAATATTTTTACAAAGACTCAAATGATATGCAGCAAACAGGAACTTTAGCTTTAAATGTCAGACTCAACACTGTTTGTCTGTTAGGAAAATATCTCATGAACCACTGGACTATTTTTATTAAAAGCTTCAGAAAACAATTATTTTATTCACATCTGATTACCTTTTGAAGACAGTCCAATTTGAGATGGCTGCCACAGCTAACCAACATTAACCAGCACAAGAATTGCTATGTCAGTCACCTTTTCAAATAGTGAGCTAACATTAGTTGTGGTTGAAGCTGAGAGTCACACACAGCACATACCATGAGTGTGATGACGCACCATGGTGAGAGCACGGACAATATTATTTTACGTTCACAACTGCAGCATTTCTTCTCTCTGTCTCTTTCTCCCTCTTTCTCTTTCTGTGTGGGTGTGTTTGCGCGCCCGTGCGCGTGCACACAACATTACAGATAAGCGATAAGAGTAAGGAGCCTCTGGACAAAGTTTGCTGCAGTCATGAGTTTTTGCTGTGAAGCTGATTTTTTGTTGTTCAGAGTGATTTTTATAGAAAACATATTCCAGCATAAATTTAAGGACTTCCTCGTTTGTTTTCCTGCTGCTCTGTTTGTTGCTTCATCTAATCTCATTTTAGAGCAGCGCATTATTTTGGCTCAGGGTCCAGATAATGTCTGACACAGCACAACACCCCCCCCCCCCCCTCCCAGCTCCCATTTTGGCTCCTCAGCACGTCGGGCCCTCTGAAGGAGGCCTCCAGTCTTTGTCTCGGCCTGCTGGGCTCGTGTAGTTTTCTCCTCCTGCTCCGTGCCATCAGACGGGCCGAGGACGCACGGAGAGCTGCTGGTGCGGGATGGAGCGGAGCGAGCTGTGCGTGAGTGGAAACTAAAAAGTGCTTGTGAAGCAGCAGAGGGGCTGCTGCTGCGCGCTTTGATTTATGTGTTTTAGAGAAGTTGTCAGGCGCAGAAACACGCGCACACTTTGATTTGACCAACCTGACGCAACAAGTAGAGCGCCATTTATTATTGTAGAATTAGAACGCGCGTGCAGGGGTGAAAACATGGACATGTTTCTGACTACTGCTGCTTGTTCTGGTGCTAAATTCATGATCATTTATTTTTCTCTGGGTTGTTGTGTTGAAGCTGTTTATGATTTAGTTTATATTGTTCTTATAATTTTAATTTCCCTCTTTGATTAATTTATACCTTCCAGAGTGAACCTGAAGGAGAATGTTCCTTTCTGTTTGTCCCCATAATATTTATCTGCAGATGGTGCGCAAACTCAGACAAACAAAAATTTGTAAAACTTAAAATATAAATTTATTGGGGTAACGTCATGGACTGCAGCATGTTGGTCTCATGTTATCTCCCACGCTGTCTGCTCCCTGATTTTACAATTCACATTATTACAAAATTAAAGCTCGACGTTTTGATTCCTTCTTTTATTCCCGTTCATCCCAAGACTTTTTCTGAAAGCTAATTGTATTCCCATAAACATCCAGGAGAGGGGAAAAAAAAGATAAAATCCCAGTATGTGCTGCTGTTTTTTTTTTTTTTTTTTCTCCTTTGTCTGCATGGTCTGATTCTGTGACAAATAACAGACCCCTGCACGAGCTGAAACACAGATTAGATACAATGAACACAAATAATTAAAAAAAAGCTCAAATATGTGACCATTTACACGTTTTACTGATTTATTTCGTTTTTTTATTAAACCAACAAATAGCATCTTATAATAGTTATTATTATGAGTGTCTGTTACATGAGCATGGAGGTGTGAATATTAATAATAAACATGAGGCGGCAGTTCCGGTGATTTAAAGAGCTGAAATGAAAAAAGTTGCTTCAAAGTGAACATGATTAAAACCAGTATATTCCAGCAGCAAACATGGCGCTGACAAGGTGATTTCCACAAAGCGGGAATCAGAGGAAAATCCTTTGTGTCATTCTCTGTGACCTCCATGTCTGAATCCCGGCGGAGGGAAAAGGAAAACTGGATCAGTACCGAGTCAGAGACAAAATCCGGGTCCAAACCCAAACGGTCCAGAAAACACTCGATCCTCCAACAAGCACGAACCTGCTGTTACAAGTCAGAGGAATCCTCCCCGTGCTGGTTCTGCTCTGACAGGGTGGGAATAAAAAAAGAGCTGATTAGTGGTTTGTTAATGAGTGATGAGGCTTTTCAGCGCGTCCGTCGCTCCGCGCGCACGCTTTGTTGTCCTTTTTGTCTGAAGAAAAGTTGCAGACGGACACAATTCAGGATCCCACCTTCCACCTACACTGAGCTCATCCTCCCATTCAGCAGAGCGTAGCCACAGCTATCTGTTTTAACTGGGTTCACGCGCGCGCGTGCGCTGCCAGGTGAAAGGATATCATAAATCTTAGGCAGCCATAAAACGACACAAGGAGCGACCTGAATTATAAAAATAGAGAAGTGGGAGAGGAGGAGGATCGTGTGTGTGTGTGTTAGCAAAATAGCTCATGAACACCTGGGATTGCAACAAAACTTGCAGAATGTAATGAGCTGTTTAACCAGAGTCAACCCGATTCAAGATGGCCGCCACAGCCAAGTGACCTAAATATTGGTTATAGCTGTTTGAGTTTGGAGTAGAAGTGGTTGACACTGATTAAATACCCTGAGTACCAACAAACTGTGCATCACCTTTGTGTAAAAATACGCTCATAACTCAGTAACTGTGTTAGCAAAATAGTTGATATAGGCGGATGGAACTTTTCCAACAGTTATCAAACTGAAAGCTGTTGGAGTTGTTAAAAAGGAAGAAGTTCTGTCAGTTGGAGTTTTTGTGTTATATTTCATGTGGTGGTGACTGAAGGTCATACACAACTTATTCTTTGAAGGTCAGTGTCAGAGTCAGTTTCACATTAACTCTTTCATTTATCAGCATGACGTCATCTTAGTATAACTGTTATCATGAAGGCTGCAGGCGATCCTTCAGAGACTGCGGAGTCTTTAAGTTGTTATTTGTTTTGGAGCTTCACCTCTTCTTGTGTCTTCTCTCCTGCGTCTCTATAACACATAAAATGTAATATTTTATGTTGCAGAATAACAGAGAAAACTTATTTGAATTAACTTGATGAAACTCTTTCTTGCTTTCCCTTAACCTAACTGCAACGTTGTTATGCATGCTAGCAATATATATATATATATATAAGTTAATTCAAATAAGTTTTTTCTGTTATTCTGCA